AGCAAACCAACTTTCAACGCTCGTAACTCTAACCGCCAACATCCAGGTTTCAACCTCCACCAAATACACATTGATCTGTTACATTTTGACCAAAAATTGAATTTCGTACCAATACAATAACGACCTGAAGAAAACAGATAGAAAAGTGTCACTTCAGTATTCTGTCCTACATTCTAATTCCGATACGTAACCATGAAGGTTGCAATTACCAGTCTGCAGTTTATATAGTATTATTGTTCTAGACACTACTGAGCAATATTGAATCGCTGGATAGATATGCATGTCTACTAGGACAACATGTAAAGCAAACACTAATGGTGAAATTGGTTACTACTATTTGTAATAGCTTGAGAGGTATAATATCAATCGAAACAGAAACTGCATCAGAGTTTGCAATTGAGATTTGTTGGTATGGTTTGCTATGATTCGATTTGTATGCACACTTGTTGTGACAGAATGTAAATCAGGAATACTAAATAAGATTTGTGAGAATTTTTGGCAATCGCTTGATACGTATGCATACAAATCGGAATGGCAAGTAAAGTGTATACCGATAAGAAACGCTTTCTGTATGATGGTTGAATACTAAATAGGAGTCGATACCTGTCAGGAAAATATTCGAATCAGTAATTAGCAGTGAACTTGGTTGATATCATTAATAATTGGTTCATACTTACTAGAGGTGCACCACCTCGCGACCGCGAGGTCCCCTTCTCTCCCACCTATGTGTAGTATCTAGGCACCTCCAGTAATTAGTTAATTTTGTCTTTGCCGTCTCATGTTCTGTTTTCCCGGCCATGTTACATAAATGCCTAAATCTTGCTCTGGATATCTATTTCCGATTTTCAATGCCAAGTCCAGTGCCAGCTCTAATGCCCGCTCCGGTGCGAGCTAAAATCAAGGTCAGCCCCAGTGTCAGCTTCGGTGTCGGCTCAAATCTATGCCAGCTCTAGCTGGAGCCGCCCGAATGCCATCTCTAATGCCCACTCCAATGCCAGCTCCATTAGATGCCGGCTCCAGTGCCAGCTCAGATACATGCCAGCTCCAGTGTCCGCTTCTCTGCAAGCTCCAGTGCCCGCTTCTCTGCAAGCTCCAGTGCCCCCTTCGCTTCCAGCTCCAGTACCAGCTCTGATGCCCGCTCCGGTGGCAGCTCCGGTACCCGCTCCAGTACCCGCTCTAGTGCCAGCTCCGGTGCCAGCTCTAACCCTCACTCCTGTGCCCGCTCTTGTGCCCACCCCTATTCCAGCTCATGTTCCTGCTCGTCTTCACGCTCTTGTGTTCGCTTCAGTGACCGCTCGAGTGACTACTCCAGCGTTTGCCTCAATGCCAGCTCCTGTGCCAGCTCCAATGCCAGCTCCAGTTCCAGCTCTGATATATTCCAGCTTCCTTCACCGTTCCTCCACCACACTGACACCTCCTCTTCCCCTCTTACTGGTCTTCCCTCTCCCTATTCGCACTCCCCACCAACTACTGTTCGTCTCTCTCCCCTATTCTGCTCATATTTGACTACTAAATAGCTATATTTATTATTTAATCATAAAGAGTTCCGTTGGTTGGGCTGGTCTCATAGGTAAGGTCAGGGTTAGGGTTTGGGCTTGGCAGGAAAATAGGCAGGGTAACGCCAAAAAAAGGTAGGGTAACGCACAAAAAAAGTAGGGTAACGGCTCAGAGCAGGCAGGGCAACCGCACTAATCGGGTAAGGTAACCATCTCAAAATAGGCAGGGTAACAGAACAAAATCGGGCAGGGTAACTGCACCAAACACACGAATTTGATGTGTTGTGCTTACAAAACACCCCTGTCGCTGTCAACAAATCAGATTGCAGCAATCTCAGAAGAATTATATTCCAGTACATATTAGATATGTTCTTATCAGAACAGCAAATTTAACAGTTATTGACAAACAAAACCTTTCGTATTATTTACAATCCTTTAATGGGTATGTATCAGAACAGCGAGTGTATCAGAAATTCAAATTTTCATTTGTTACAATCGTTCATGAAGGTTTGAAAGCTATGAAAATTTATTGGCACAGTAAAATACTGAAATTGATACTCAATGTATTTGATGGCTTGATTGGTATACCATGTTCTGGATCAATATTGAATAGATTGAATACTGCACTACGGTTTGCAAAATATCTTCTCCCAAAACACGAGGTTGCGGCTTTCCAATCCATTCGGAAATATATACAATGTATGATCATATTCTGAACTTGAGAGTGAACAATATTCAGCACTTATCTCTAAAACTCATTGTTTTAATTGATAACAGTCTTCATAACATGTATCCTGATATTTTGTATTTTGTAAAAGGGTAGGAATTTGACGATGTCTGCAAGATAACATCTGTTCCACCTCACCTACCTATTAACAGTATGCGCCCAAATTCCCTCAAGCCTTTAGAATTAGAATTATGAATGCTTTTGATTGAGAATGTCATATTTGAGCTGAGTGGCGATCAGTATAGCACTCAATTGCTTGAACGTTCTCAGTGTAACCCAATTCAGATCCTAAAACCTTGTCCGATTTCATAGATCGATTGAATAATATAGTAGGTTACAAAGGGTCGAATTGATCAGAAAAATTCTATGGATTTCTAGAAGTTTCCGTCGATTTTAAGGGTATGAGTTACTTGAGATTTATGATTGCTAAGCTTTCTTTATGTATATTAAGGGGCTTTGCCCTCGATTCTATTCTTTTTCCCTCTCTTTTCTTCTCTTTCTTTTGGTACGCAAAGGCTTAGGTAATCTACGCTGGCTATTGCTATTCAAGTACTACTTTCTCTTCCTTTATAAGGAGGCCATCTCACTTCTCCGACCTTCCCACCGCTAGACCTAAACTACTGTAAGTTTCTCCAACCCCTCTCGCTGATTAACCTACCAGCCCCTATGACCATGTCCCGTACCCTGTTTGACCAGCTCCCTACTATCTTTTAAAGCATCCGACACGAGAGGGATAGTGCTCGTACACTGCTCTCCGCCGTCCACAAAACCATTGGCTACCTGGAAGAGCACGTAATACAGGTCAACCTTGACCTCAATGTTGACCACACCACCTCCGCCCCCAATGTTCCTATCCCCATTTTCGCTGCTACTGCACCAACCACTGTCTCCACCTTTGGGTCTGAAACTTTCCCCGAAAAGTTTGATGGCATCCGGACCAAAATCTCCGGATTCGTTACCCAACTCCGAATGAAGCACGAAGTCAACCATAATCGGTTCCGCAATGGGACAGCAAAGGTTATCCATGCGGTCAGCTATTTGGAGGGAAGAGCTCTTGATCAGGTAATACAACTTGTTAACGCCAATCCTGCTGACTTCTTTTCCTCCATCACCTTCTTTGTCGCCCACATGAAAGGCTCATTTAGAGACCTAAATACCCAAAGTACCATCCACCGCCAACTCGTCCCCCTGAGGCAAGGCAAAGGAGACTTTGCCACCTACTACTCGCAGTTCATCAGAAACATGTCTCACTTGCATTACAATAAAGGGGTCAAGATTGACGAATTGGCGGAAAGATTGTCTGACAACTTTAGAGACGTCATGACCTATCGAACAGACAGACCCAATATGGTGGAAGCATATGCGACCATGTCAGTGACGATCGATAAAAACATGTGACTGAGGTACTACGATGAGGCACAACCGTGATTTGCTTTCGAATAGTGTAAATAAAGAGACCGAGTTTTGATGATACTCGTTCAGAAAGAATAAAAGGGAGTTTGTATGTTTGAACGTTCTCAAGTCTAGAAAATTATAACTTTAAGGGGTCTTCTCTCTATTAAAGATCCGTTGATGATGAGAGGTCAACCTAGGGCAACACCGAGTGGCTTATAAGAACATGTCGCGTTTGGTCAAGTTCTTTTTCTGACTGACAGTTTGCCTGTTGATAGTCGGGGGTACAGCAATGATTTTCTATCAGGGGAGAGGAGAGTAACTACGACACCTTGAATGAACCCCTGTCCGAGTCAAATCATGCAATTTGCTGAAAGCTGTGGTTGGAATCTTAAGAACTATTGGAAACAGCCGACCAGATAATAATTGTTTATTCTAACTTTATTAGAACCGATTTGGGTGTTTGTAAACCGAAGTTTTGCTTTAGTAGCTTGAGTCGCACTCCCACTCCCCAAAGATACTCTGGAGCAAAACAGGAGCATTCCGGCAGTTTGACACTGCGGAGGTTAGTGTTGGGGATTAAAACGTATTCTTGGAATTAGATTTTCCATTAACTCCGGGACACCTCCAGAATCATTTCTGTCGTGCTAAACCATGGTCTTTCGGCATCGGTTGGAGATATATGAAACCTGAAAGATTCGACTGCCTAGGTAGGGAACTGCCGTCCGGGGTTCCCTGTGCTATCAGCCATCTTTGTACTTCTGTTCCAGGCTTACTCGGCCCCATATTTTTGATTTGTAAGACTTCTTACTCATTGAGATCACTGTCCTCTATACCAATAAAGGTAGGAGCCTAACTGCCCTAATCTTCACGCGTCGATGAAGAACAAGCTGCTGTTACTTAGGGTCGGTGGCTTAACTGATGGAATAGGTTCTCTTGTAACAGCCTGATAGTGGCCTTGTTACATTACTCCCCTCTATTGTAGACTCGTTTTGAGTTCACTGTAGTGTTATTGGAGTATTAGTATTTGGCATAAAAGAAAAACTGTAGCTCTATTGGTGATTACGTACAAATTACATCTCTGTTTCTATTTCCATCAGAGAAAGAAAACTCTAACATGAAATGCCTTTTAAAAACAAAGAAAATGATATATTCTCCACTCTTGTCGTAGAACCTTTCGTCCCACTAGTGGAGATTTCGAGGTTAGCAAGAATCTCTCTTTTTCCCTTGTCTTTTTTACGCGGGTTTCCTCACGCTTCGGTTTTCTATCGTTTCTTGCATTGTTTTCAGGAAAAAATGGTATCCGAACTCTGTCAGACCGATGAAAAACCTGGTACAGGAGAGTTGGTTTTTGTTCCCGGATTTCTTCTGGGATACAGAGCTACTCACGCCGTGTTTTGAGGATCCATAAAGTTTCCCCGTATTTTCCGATGTTTTTGCGGGTATTTTTGATGAAATACTTTCAGGGCCTCATCGGCTCTTCCTTGCAGAATTTCATATGGTTCCCAGGAGTCTTCCGAACGATAGCCCTCCCAAACAATGCGATACTCTACAAACATTTTCGAATGCCTAGCATATTGCCATCGGCTATTAGCTATTTCTCGAAGAACGTGACTGTATTCTCCTTCGACCTCATCTGGAGTAGGAGGGACTTCAGTGCGTCGAGGGTATTTCAGTCCCCGATAGGACTCCAGCAGAAATATTTGGAAGTCATTATGAATGTTCCATTGAGAGGGAAGCTTCAGCCTGTAGAACGCAACAACAAGTTTCTCATCAACCTCAAAGAGACATAGTGTCTTGTAGTCAAGCTTGCTTGAGGGTGTATTGGCAACCATATTGCGTCAGTCCATCATCACCTTATCCCCATCTTCAGGTTCTGGAGGTTTCATATGCTTCTGGTCATACTATTTCTTCTGCCGGGCCTGTGCCTTAAAAATATCTGTCCTCATAGTTTTCCAAAGAGCTTTCCACTTGAACTTTGGTACGGGACTGGAAACATTGGCATTGTCCAGCTTCCTTCTGCGCGAATGCCAATCGGAATCAGGCTCGAACCCATAGTTCGCGTAGAACTGAGATACTTTAATGGACTATTGGGTTGCCGTTTTGTAGGCGTACTGTGCAAGCGGCAGTAACCCTGCCCAATCGTCCTACTGGTAGGATCAAAAGTTTCTGAAATATTGCTCTAGCGTTTGATTGACCCTCTCAGTTCACCTGTCAGCTTGAGGGCGATATGCCGTAGACAGACAAAGGTTGACTCCGAGAAGCTTGATCAATGAATGCCAGAACTTGCTTTCGAATCTGAAGTCCCGATCAGAAATGAATACTTCGGATAGTCCATGTAGTCGGCATATTTCTTGAAGGAATATCTGCGAAAGTTCCTTGATTGTTGCCTCGGTCTTGAGCGGTATGAAGTAGGTGATTTTTGTAAAGCGTTCAACAATAACCCCGATACGGGTATAGGCTTCAGATTCTGGCAAACTAACGAAAAAGTCCATAGAGATGGAGCTGCAAGGAGTATTGGGGACCTCTGAATATGGTAGCATCCTGTACTTTTCATGACTGGAGCTTTTATTGCTTTGACATGTATCGCAACTCCATACGTATTCTCCCATATCATTGTCCATCTTTGGGCAAAAGAACAGTGCCCGAAGATGCTCTGCAGTTTTGAATTGACCCATGTGGCTTGTGGGCTTCGAATCATGTAGGGCGCTCATGATTTTTGGTTTGAGCTCTCGGTGATTTGGGATGTAGCATCTTTTCTTCTAAAAGACATCACCGTGTCTCAAAGTTAGGTTTCGGTCTACTGTCTTACCGAAGGTGTGATCCACAGCCTCCTCCGAGGAGAATTACTTAGGGTCTGAAGCTGAATGAGGCCGGATTTTGTCCAGAAGCACCGGTGTGAGTTTGCAGACGTGAGGTGACTTTGGGCGTTAAGATTTGATCGTAACGGTTGGTGGTTGTACAGAAACCATTTTGCTAGGGCAACTTAGGACAGGATTGTTCGGTTGGGCGAGAACCGTACCCGTACAATTCCCGATTCCGTTGCTATACGTTGGCCAAAACGAATAGAATTCATCAGCATCGTCAGGTATGTGGGTAAAAGGCAACATGATTGTGATATCTGGAGTGGAGGTAGTGGGTGGGGGCTGTTGAGTGTTAGCTCGGGTAACCTATTGCTAGGGGTAGATAGGGTTAACTGGAATGACAGGCCAAATAAGGGTTACAGGCCAAATCAGGGTTAGTTAGGGTTAGTTAGGGTTAGTTAGGGCTAGTTAGGGTTAGTTAGGGTTAGTTAGGGTTAGTTAGGGTTAGTTAGGGCTAGGGTTAGTTAGGGTTAGTTAGGGTTAGTTAGGGCTAGGGTTAGTTAGGGTTAGTTAGGGTTAGTTAGGGTTAGTTAGGGTTAGTTAGGGTTAGTTAGGGTTAGTTAGGGTTAGTTAGGGTTAGTTAGTTAGGGTTAGTTAGGTTAGTTAGGGTTAGTTAGGGTTAGTTAGGGTTAGTTAGGGTTAGTTAGGGTTAGTTAGGGTTAGTTAGGGTTAGTTAGGGC